ATGTCCCTACAAGGGAGAGAACAGGAAGCTTTGATTCAGAGAGGGGGGAAAAAGCTTAAGGCTGAAGTTACCACAATTACACTGCAGTGCATCCATCAAGATAATACTGAACGCAGCTCGTTGTTTTGTGCAGAAAAGGTAGAGAAACACTCCAGATATGCTCATTTTGTTACTCCACCGAGTATCAAGCTTGCCATTCCCAAATGTACACCGTGCCATTTTAAGCAGTAACCCTGCTGGCTACAGACCTACGCAATCACAAGGGCAATGACGTAGCATGCTTAAGCAGAAGTGACACATTTCTATCAGACAACAAGGAAAAAGAACACGCTCACACGTCTGTTCAAAGCTCACAATAAACGCTTACTTAGGAGGTGTAAGGAACCTACTTTGACAATCAAGAGCACCCTGAAGATCTTCTAAAGCTGTCTTTTCTCTTTGCCCACCAGTCCTTTGAGAACTCACCATTTTCACTTGTTTCCTCTTCCTCCTCTGAGGAATTCAGGGTCTGCTTGGCAGGTGGAGCAGAGTTTGCGCCTCTCCTTGCTACCCAAAATCCTGCTGGACCATGGATAACGGGAGCAGGACTACCCTGGCTCTAAAAAGCAAAGTCAGAAGCGTCCACTTAGAAATAGTTAAAAGCCTTTCCACGCTCTACACATACACACACAGGGGAGACACAGGCTGGCAGACCAAGCTTGCCGCAACCAAATCTTACTAGAATTACCATTTGCACGTCTCTGCCTGTGCACCTCGACTGCAGCAAAACAGTTGCTGACGCGTTTCTTTCCTTTACCTTTCGGTCTGCCTAGCATACTTAAGGTAATTTAGTTTTGAAGACCTACCTCTCTCCTATGCAATACCGTCAAGTTGCTCCCTCCCAGGACTTAGCCCACTTTCTCTCAAGCTCAAACAAAGCTGAAAAGGAGGGAGCAGACCCCATACAACAGCCAAGACTGCTACCCCCCAACACACACTCCTGTGTTCCTCATCCTGGAGCATTCCCACCACACCAAGAGCCGACCAGTTCAGCCAAATACTCTCATTATCATGGAAAAAGGTTCTCTTTAGTCACAATTAGTGAAACCCATGGGTGGCTGCTGGCACAGACACCACCGTCTGCACCAACTTGACCCACACATGCAAGCCTGACTCTTTCAGAGAGCAGCACCCATCTGGGTTTCCCACAGGACTCCTTTAACACTTCACACACCCTGTGCCTTTGCACTGAAGTCAGTGCTTAGCTGCTCCACAATTTAAAAGAGAGAGTTCTCTGAAGCACAGATATAGGACTGTGATGCTCAAGCAAAAGGAGTCGATTCATTCTTTTGTGACGGCTAAGGTGACACTCAAAATTCTCCTCAGAAGACACGGTGACTATGAGATCGATAAAGTGCTCAGAGAGGCTTGTAAGATTTCCAAGCTTGAAGCAGAGGTGGTAAGTCAGAAGATTCTCCCACCAGGCCTCTAGTAGGATGGCAGAGTGTTCTGTGAGATGCATCTTTCCCCAGGAAATGTTATATTCCTTTACTAAACAAGACAAGGAAGAGACAGAGAAAAGGCTTTGGCATTGACAACAACAAAGTCACTGAAGGAGCATGAAAAACTATTCATTAGGAGCTGCAGGTGTATGGTCTAGCAATGGGAAGGAAAAGCTACTAATCTCTATTGATTTCATGTCAGAAAAATAAATTGCAGGCTAATCTGTCCTTATTCCTCAACACATGTGGAGGAAAATCAGAGCAAAGATTAATTTGTCCTCATGTGCTGATCTGTAAAAATAGCTGCCGTTGAAACAGCCCTGAGCAGATTCCCTCTCTCACATTTAAATACAAGGCTAACGTTTCTCAAGTCCACTGCTTCAACACAGTAAAAACAAATTCAAACCTACCAGGTTTGGTTTTTTTTAAAAAACAGATCCACTTTCCTGTTCATATACCTAAATATAAATCTATTTTTCTAGCATGTCCAGCTTTGCGGTAAGTTCGACTTCAAGTAAGTGAAAAGGATTTATTTTGAAGTTTAAGAATACGCTGCGCCACTTTATCTACAACCCAACAGAAAGACCGTTTTAAAGAGAAGTCTAGATTTGGAATTTTCTCCTGTTTCTGTAGCAGTGGAAACTGTTCCAGGAACAACACGCTAGCCCAAGACATCACAACTATAAATTCATAGGAACAATCCAGGCTATCACTACACAGTTTCTCAATCTGGTGACACAAACAATAAATTACAGTGTGGCAAACAAGTGAAAATCTTTCTCCCACAATATTTAGAGCTAGACAGACATCCACAGTAGGAAGGGAGTTTGTTTTCTTTTGAGAGAAAACAAGTGCTGCCCACGAGGGGAGGGAGAAAGAAGGGGAACATGTAGAAAAATTAATATTTAATCGCTTATAGGAAGGAAAGAGAAAAAACGCTGCTGTATATTTAGGTAAAGAAATGCTGCACATTTGTACAGCTTCCCGCCCCCCACCCCGACGTCCCCTCTTTGAGAGCTTTTAACATACCCTTTGTTCAGAACTTACTGGTAAAGTAGGAAAAGCAGTGTCATCTGCGCCTTCAAATTCATAGAAGGTTATAGCTTCTTCTGGTCCTTGAGGCTCCTCTCCATTCCCTGGTACAAACCCATACTGGCATTCCTTATTCATACACTGCATCTGACGGCGGCTACGGCTGTACGAGCTTTAAAAACAAGGAAGGAGGTCAAGAATCACCACTACCTGGAGTTGCACCTTGGCTTCGTTGCTCAATTGAACTTTGTTCTTTTTGAAGAAGCACCATGAACCTGTTGTTTCATACTGTGCCACTAGCAGCCAGCTCAGCCCTCCACATTCCACCATCCTCCCCAACTCTTCTAGAGCAACGTTTTGTAAAAGAGGTTGATATTCACTTACCAGGACCTGCAGGAGAAACTGTCATAGCTCTGATTGCATCTCTTTCCTGGACTGGGGTAGAATGCTATTTGAGGGCCAACCATGTTGTGCCTGTTTATAAATCGGGCAGATCCCCTAAGTTTAAAGGGTAAAAGGTGCAATTACCAGCAAGTGCCTCTCAGATGGAACTCATTTGTAGCTTTTACCTACTAAATAGCACAAACTCTCTCCTAACTAGTCTGGAGCAGGACTGAATAGAGAAAGAGAGGTGACCTCAGACAGGTTTTCATGGCTTCATACCTTGGCATCCCAAATCCACGGTTATGTCTCTGAGGAGCATTCTGAGGATGATAGGGTTCATAAGGTGCCATGTTTCCACCACCCTGCGAGCAGTGAACTGGAGGAGAGCGCCCTGAAGGAACACTGTGCTGTAGCCGGGGTGGAAGAACTGGCTGACCCCTGCTATAAGCCACAGTCATAAAGACTTCCTTTCCACGAACTTTCTTAAGCATTCTCTTCCGTGTTTTCATATCCATTTCTGCAGTTTCAGTTGAGGACAGAGAAGATAATAGATTTACACCTTTAACAGCTGACTCCAGAGCTGTGTTCTCTTTATCATTTGAAAAAGTTCAGTATTTGGACACACAAAAAAGTCAGTGGACTATCCCCCCAAAAAGTGCATTTTAAGTATACAAACTTCATAACCTTATTTTGAAGGCTCAAGTGGGCTTTTTAAATCATGAGCAGAATACAAGCATCTCACATGATTATACCTTCCCAGTAAGCCCAGTACTCTGTGTTAAAAATTTCTTTATGGAAGTTGCATTTATTTATTAAAAAAAAATTTCTCCAAATTAAACAAATACAATCCATATTTAATTGGCCGGAGAAGCCCCAGTCCGTCCATGCATCTCTGCTACGGCCAATTCAGACAAGCTTTTTGGTTTACAGACCCAGTATTTATATATGGTTCTCAAGTGCCAAATTTTTTCTTGACAATTTTGAGCAATACCAACTTTGCTATGTATTTTCAATGGATTTGCTCTTTGCAATAGCAAATTCATCCCTCCGTCTGAAGGATCACTTTATATCAAACCCCTGCAGTGACAAAGTTTTGTATCACAGGCTGAATTAAATCACTTCCAATATACAAAGACTGCTACTGTTAAAACAGTCACGACTGTTTCCCCCACTCCCTGCCCTGGGCCAAGGGAAGGAATGTTTGTGGAAACCTTGTACAAACCTATTCCTGAGAAGTATCCACCTGTTATTTTCTGATAGGTTCCTCCTTTTCGGCTGGGAACCATATTCCAAGCCAGGACAGGCGCCACTTGTGTCACTGGTTTTAAGTTTGCCAAAGGAACTGTATGCCTACATGAGTAACACTGATGTTAGCAGTGCCACAAGGTACACTGTGCATAACTGCACAAAATAAGCTGAAGCAACACTAAGACAGAAGAAAATACAAAAACCCCACAAACTTAAGAGTGTAAAGAGCTTGTGAAAATAAAAAAAAACCCCACCTTTTTCTCCGACACCAAACACACACTACTGTTACTTGTTTATTAGAAAAGGCAAGCTAGGATTTAGTCTCAGCACTACTAACTTCCTGGGTCAAGTCTGTCTTCCCTGCATTCATATGCCTTCAGAGGTACACCTGAAAGCATTTGACAACACAGAATTTTTGCAGTGTCATCAAGCTGAATTCTAGGTTTGGAGAAAAACAGCAAGGTGGAGAAAGTGATTACTCACCAGAAGTACCAATTATTTTGCTGTTTGGTACATCATAAAAACTCCAGAGAAACCAACAGCAGAGGGTAATTTGCTATCCATTAATTAAGCCCAAACTGCAAAGATCACTTTCACATTCCAGAGGAGAAAGAGCAGCAAGATTTCACAGAACGCACTACAATAATGATTTTGGCCATTAGAAATCCAAGAGAAAAAATTTTGTGCAACATCCTGTTTGAAGAGTGATAGACAAAAAGGTAGCAAAGTCTCACTTCATGTTTAAAAGCCTAGGTCCTCTTTTCTTTTCACAGTATCATAACAATCCTATTTTAAGCATCTGTGAATGTGCAAACTCAACCAGAAAGAGTTCAAAGAAAGTTGTCACCAGACTGCTTACTTTTCTGCCAGCTCCTCAACGAATACAGTCAATGTGTTGCCATCTTGTCCAACTTCCTGGATATGAGCATTATAATACTTACCTCCAGGCTCCAGACGTACCTGGAAAGAGAACAAAAGAAGCTCTAAAAAAGCCAAACTGTAGCAGAGGATTCAAAATACTGTCTACATCACTAATGGCAAAGGCTGCTGCTAGCTAATCCTATGTTACTGAGTTGGCCCAGAAGTCTCAAATACTTCTTCAAAATAGCAAGCAAAATAAAGAGCACTATACTAACTTCAGGGAGGAAAGGGAAGAAAAAAAAAAAAAGTCTTGTGACTGAGATGTAAGAAGATACCTGCTTTCTAACTTATTTTTTATAGGCTGTGCCAAGCAGGTAAGTACCAAGAAAGACCACTATTTAAGAACTTGAAGTCAACAGAAGATAAAACAGGAAATTGGAAAGGAAAGCTCTGCCCAGCTAGAAACATGTCACTGAGTGAATCATCAGCACTACCTCAAACAGTTATCACAGTTTGAAAAAAAGCGCTCACTACATACAACATTGGAATACAAAGAAAGCTGACCTTCCTTTCAGCATCTCCTGGACAGATCATGCTACTCCTCCCTTTTTAGCTCTCCCCTTTCTATTTTTATAAAAATGTTTGCTAAATTAGTGTTGAGAAGTGGAAGACTGTCCAGACTTGTGGCTGGCCCCCAGTGAAAATCAAATAGACAACTACCTCAAATACACACCCTGGGCACTTTCAGCTCTTGGTCTGCAACTTCCACACTCACAGAAGGTATATCACTGGTTCGCAATGAATTTCCAAACAGCTTTTCCTTCACACTACCCAGCGTTTAAAGGTAGATTTTAGAAAGAAATTAGAAGAAAGTCAGATTAATAGCTAGAAGAAAGAAAATTAGAAAAGCCTTGTAAAATTCTACAAAGTCAAATGATTTTATGGCTAACCACACTCCATTTAAAGCAGTTTTAATAGTTTATCATAACTGAGTCTCCTTTGAATACTAACCTGACACTTGTCTCCTAAATAGTACTGTCTCCCAGCAAACACCATGTAGTCAGTTTTTTGAAGCTCTAAAAATAAATGAATAAATAAATAAAAAGGAAAAAGCCTTTAAACTACTGTTCTTTCTTCATGTGTCCTACAAGTACTTCATGAGAGCACCCAACTACAGATTATAGGCTGAGTTACATACTTCCTATGCACATCTGAACATTCCCCATAGTAATGGTGAAGTAACTGTAGATGTTCTTATAACAGACTACCACCAGACTAAGTCACAGGAGATCAGTAATATCCAGATAATGCAGTAAGTCGCACTACTACTTCAATACTACAACGTCTTTTGTGATGGTACAGAGTTAATCCTGCATTTAATACCAGTCCTGGTATTAAGAATGTTGGATGTGTCTTGACTTGCCAGAGTACTAGTGGCATTTGGCAAAAACGAGATGTTACTCAGGAAAAACTAACATTGCCTAAAGTCTCCTTGCTGCTTGATTTCAGTAAGCTTTTCTCCATTCCTTGTCTGGATTCCCTGCACATCAGTACCCTACATAGATAATTAGTTACTATACTCTGTTCCAAGAATTTTAATGACCCTCATTATTGTTATGCAGCTGTAAAATGCTGGAGTTCTTCAGTATGCAAAGCACTTTGGGTCAGACATCAAACACCACCTCAGAACTTAGCTTTCTTGGTAACTTCTTGCTTTACAGATCAGCCATAGCGTATGCCAAAAAGCAGCAATCTATCTTAAGCCACAAAGACCATGAAATCTCTCAAGAATGTTCAAGCTCAGGAGAGCTGGGAAGCAAGAGAAAACTCATCTCATTTCACAGATCTTGATGCTACATTTGAGATCATTATTATACAACTCTGAAGCCAAAATTGTGCTTTAAAAAGTCCTTGCAGTCATGCTGCAACAAAAACACTCTCCAATTTGAATGATTTCCAATACAACAGAAGGGTAACACAGAGTTCTGTACTCTGCTTTGAGTCCTCACATTTCCTATACTATAGTCAGTAAATAGCAGAGGTCAGATTTTTAGCAACCTTATCACCATTATACAGTGTCAGAAGCAGTGTATTTCATACTTTGAAACGAAGCCAAGAAACCAGATACTAGCAAGAAGATGTACTACCTACAAGCATCTGCTGGGTTAACCAGTTTCCTTCACATTTCAGCTGTGAAGAAACAGGTGATATTGAGGCCTCAGATTCATAAATTTAACACTAAGCCTAGTACCAAAAGAGTTGTTAGTTTTTCTCTTTTTGAAGATACCTTTTCTGCTGTCCAGCCAAACATCAAACTCCACATTTCGATAGATCTCAGGGTCCAGTGCCTTTAGCACTTTATAAGGAACAGGCATCTTTGATGGATTTTCTGGAGGCTAAAAACAGAGTTGAAATGGAGCATTAACAAGGGCATTTAATGTGTTCAGCAGTCTATCCTGCCAGTATCTCTGGACCATTTTAAGATGTACACACACTATTTTCCAAAATTTTCACTTCCACAATATTTGCCTAAAAACTAAAGCTCAAGAATATGAAAACACATTTAGGCATTCAGAAGCTGAGCAAACAGACTTCAGAAAAGAAACAGGCTCAAGAGTAACATTTGGCATGTTCTTTACTCAAAAAGAAATGAAGGAAACTAACCAGACCAATGAAGCCATGGCTTCAAAAGTTGGTGGGAATTTCAGTTATAGCTGAAAAAAGGTTTCCATAGATTTTCCAGAACTGTTACAAACTGATTTATACAGTGTTCAAAAAAAAAGTGAACTGATTTAAACCATTTCTGGGAAAAAAAAAACAGCAGACCAGGAAACATCTGCTAAGCTCCATCTTGGAGTGGGGTGGGGTGTGGGGAGAATTAGCTAAAGAACAAGAAAACCTCAGAAAGGAAAAAGGCTTATCCAATTTAACAGAAACTCAAGGGCAAAATCACAGAGACAAGCAGATGGAAGAAATAAGCCACCCACTTTCCAAAAAGTCATTTTTTAAAAGTAGAAAAGAAGATTTAGCCCTAACAAGGGTAACATCATAAAAAAACAACAAAAAAAAAACCCCACACAAAACCACCATAATAAATTCTTCCCTGACAAACCTTTTCTTCAATGCCTTGCTTGAACTTTTCTTCCTGTGGATTATCAGTATCATTGCTTTCCCAGTCGTCCACTCTAAGTAATTGAAAATAAGATTACAAAAGATGCAATGCATGATTTCTAGCCAGGATTAAAATCAACCAACTTGTTCATACAGTCTGAAAAAGCACCATGGTGCCATCAAGTGGTAGATTTTGCCTTAAACACTAGCCACGGCTGCGATGCCGTATGGGACAACCCTTTTCCCAGTTTCAAGAACATGACCTTGACTTCTTCCAACACCCACCCCCAACGAGGGCTACTGCTTGCATTAGGAAAGGATGAAAATGATCCCACTGACTGATCAAACTCTTGCATTGTCAAGTCCAACATGACACCCTGTTCTAAGTCTTAACAAGAAGACACCCTGTTCTAAGTCTTAACAAGAAGACACCCTGTTCTAAGTCTTATCAAACCAATGTCATCTGCAAGCATTCAGTAATGGTCAGAGGCATCCCTCAAGCCATTCTAGTGACTAGAACACCACAGGATATGAGGGTTTCTTTAGGTACATTCTGTCTGTTCCCCTCATCCCCAATGATTCAGACTTGAATACTGCCACCATTTAATTGTCTATTTGGGGTATGATTCCATTTAAAAAAGGACAAACAAGAAAATAAAGCAAACCTCTTTTCTCAATACACTATTGCCTCTGCAGAGTTATAGAGGCTTAGAAGAGTAGTAACAGTTTCTCACTGAAAGAATATTATGATGACATAAAGAACAATTTTATTTACAAATAAGCTGATATTTTACACAGTAACATGCAACTGTAACATGGTCAGCAGGAGAGGATGTCCAGTTAGGTGACACTTCCCAGCTCCAAGGAAAGCACTCTCTTCCACAATATACTTCAGCTTTGTGTTTGTGTCATGAGATAGGAAAAAGAGTTAATACCCCACGAACAAAGAAACTTGGAAAAGCTGCCCTTTGCAAGGTTTTTAATTTTTTTGGCTTCCCTTTTACCACAACCCCTTCCCAAAATACTACCTCTTTTCTGATGGATTTCTGGATACTTTTTCATGAAGACAATCAAAGTTTGCATCCTCACTTCCTACAGAGCCACTGTTTCTGTTCTTCTTGGATCCACTTCGAAACACCTCAACTGCAGACCTTAATTCTTCCTCATCCATGCCAAACACATCTTTGTACAGGATCTCATATAATACAGCTGAACAAATCAACACAAAGCTCAAACCAAATTAAGATAATACCAGACCCATAAGAACTGCTGCAATTTTCAAGGTAAGCGTATCTTCAGATATTATCTATTATTAAAAGGTGCTAGTTATATTAAATTCAATTAAGGAGAGAATCATAAAATAATTCAGGTGGGAAAAAGGGACCTCTGGAATTAATTTGGTCCAATATCCCACTTAACTGAATAATGACTATAAGTATATATTAATATACAATAAATGACCTTCCATCTCTCTTTTCCCCAGCCCTGAAAACTGAAACAAACACTGGCTATAAATGTATGAAAACACATAATTCTCTTCCATAGAAAAATTATTTCAAGTTTACCCTGGCAAATAGCAGCATTTTCCTGGAATTGTTTTGTATACACAGAGTCATAATGGCCGTTGCCGGAACAACACAGTAAAATCTGGGAAAATAATTTAAAAAAAAAAAAGGCTTTAAGGCTGGAATGATGTAAAACCTAGTTCTTTCTATTTGATATCCTAGCTCAAGACTACATAATTCTTTCATTTTACAGTCAACACCAACTGATCAAGAAAACAATATTCTCAATATGAAAAAGCTGTAGAATTGGCTTAAAACTGAATCCTAGGTGAAGTCTCTAAGTAACTTTGTCTATTATACAAACTGTCAATTTGTACATCATGCTGTACTAAACATAAAGTAAGAATTTGTTTCCCACTTCTGAAGCCACCAAGTTATTTTACCTCATGGCTCAAGAGGTAAAAATAAGTACAGGCCATTAAGTGCAGCACTTGGACAGTGTGTCTCAGGGGTATCAAAGGCACATTTCACCCTTCCCTACCTGAGGGACTAGAATAGCATCTACTTCTCTAGCCCTCAACAAAGCCTTGCTTTTAATAAGCAATTTTATCCTGCCTTTTGAAGAAGTGAATGCTTTCTGCAACATATGCATTGATACACCAAGTTAACATATACCATCAAACCTCATCTTGGCACGTGACCACGGTCAACTGCAACCAGCAGAAGCCCTTAGGCAGCTGTCAGCACATTGCCAGCAAGGATGCTTCCCAGTGAGCCAGCAGGAGCTGGGATGCCAGGGCTCTTAATTCAGTGTGCACTATGTCTTCTGCCAGCACCAGCTCTCATCTCATGGCAAGAACGAGCAACACCAGAAAGAGCTGTTGCCCATATACGCACTCTAATGACAGACACCTGCCAACACTTGATGAGACCTCTGGCAGTAGAGCCTTTGAGGACAAACACACATCTAGACCACACTGTTTGACTTTTAAAGTTAGCTCATTTTGGAATTAGATTAAGCTACACAGGAAACTACACAGAAAAAGAAAGAAGAGCATGGAAACAAAGACAGTAATACTGACAGCTGCAGCAGCACAGATTTCAGAGCACACTAGCTACTTTGGCAAATTTAATAGCCCATACTGAAATCCATACCACAGCAACTTCACTGGCATCATGCCTCAGCTAGCCACATAATTGTGTGGGCACATCTACATGACTGCAGAAAAAACAAGAGCCATCAGACGGGAGGTAATACAGAGTATTTCTCCTTTATGTTCCATCTTTTTGCCCCCAGCAGTAATTCTTGTGTAGATAAGCTGTTCATTAGCTCCCAATCTTAACTGGGCTCAATTTGTATGTCACAGAAATGAATCAGTTTGTTAGATTAATCCCTCCCCAATAACTTCCCCTTTTCAGGAAGGAAAACTGCACACCTCATCTTACTTCAGGAAGGGAGGTACTGGGGGTAGGGGAGAACATCTCTTCACCAATATGGTAAATATATCTTGTTCTGCTCTTCAATTCAACCCAGATATTTCATTCGACCCTGTCAGGTCAAATTCCCACTGGGAAGTGTTTTTACCCAAAGAGATTTCAGAAACTTAAAACTTCTTTCCAACAACAAGCTGGAGTGACAAAAAAGATTGGCAGCGGAATGGCACACAATCCATCCCTCAGATGGGAAGCAAAGCTACCATAATTGAATTAACTGTTAGGCAAATACTGTGCTTCTTCCATGAGCTGAAGTCAGCTTTGGGGTTTTGTTCAGGTAGGCAAGAGCACTGAAGTTACAAGAGCTCAATTCCAAGTGGCAAGTTTTTACAACTAAGCAAGACTGGAAGCAACTAGGATTCAGGAGTAGGTGTAGGAAATTGCCTCACTTCTCCCCACCTTGTCTTCAAAGCCATTGTCTGTAGCATAAGCGGGTGGCTTTCCAGGGTACCGGTACAGAATGAAGTCTCGCCTAGGTAACCGGAGGAAAAACAAGACTTGAAAGAGCACACTTGTAGTAGAACCATGTTATGAAGAAGTTTGCAGGGAGCCATTCAGAGGATCTGCTGTTTATAGAAAAATCAATGAATGCTACCATACAGCAACAGCCGGATAGGCAAACACTCCCCATCTTAAGGGGGGAAAAAAAAAAGTTATCTGTGAAAGACAATTATATTTAGTCACAGATTAGGTCAAGTACTCATGCTTATGGCAGGTTGCTCAGACACCGAGTCAATTAAGTCTAAGTGATTTAGTCACTCCCTGCAAAAGCATTAGAGCCTCAGTACAGGGAGCTAGTAACTCTTGCAAAACTTCAGTTTGTTCTTTTAGGACTGGAACAGAATAAGCCTGCAAAGGGAGGGTTCTTCCTTCTGCTACTGGAGAGCCAAACTGCTTGTTACAGGATAGCAGCATTTTCAGCAAGACAGCAGCACCTGTGCAGGCTTACATTACCTTTGAAATAAATATCAGGGTTTACACACCAAGTAGGGCAAGTACTCCTCACTACTGGAGCTTTCAAGAACACATAAGCATGACTAAAATTCATGCAGAACTAACACGGCGTTTCCACTACACACAGCTCCTTGGTTTTTTTCCCCCCCATTTTCCATCCTTCAGCCTCTAGGAGGAAACACTTGACTCTGGAGTTTAACATTAGCAAAAAGATAACAAATAAACATGGCTGGAAACCAACCCTTCCCTTAACCCACACTAGGAGAACAGGGGCTGCGATGACACCCATATACATGTTAGTTTAAGTAACTTCGTTACAGTAGCACTTCTCACCATGTTTCACACATTAGTATCTCAGTGACAAATAGAAGGTTCTGGGGCCAGAACCCAAACACCATCAAGTCCAAACTGAAGTGAAACTTAAGAAAGAGACACTTACTTGTACATCACTGCTAAAGCACTCATTTCCAGCTGGCCAGCACTTTCCTGTGCAAGATTATGAGATTACATGAGGTAGTAGAGCCATCTTCAACACAGAGAACTCTATTCTAGTTCTCTGTGGTATTAAAATACCTAACCAAACTCATCAGTTCGTTAAAACAACGAATGCATTGAGAGTTGAGAAATTAGGATTTCAAGGGCAGGGGGTGAGGGAAGTCTGCAACATGAAATGGCCACAATTACCAGGCAGAGTAAGGTGGAGCTAGTTCTGGCAATGCCTCTCAAACACATCACTCAATATACTTTTTTTTAAATTAAAACCACAACATTTCTTTCAGAGACTGCTGCATTCACCATATTTATTGGTTAAAGTCTAAAGAAATAAGATCTTGAACTCTAGTATTCAAACCTGGGGGTAAAGGAATAAGCAAGGGATTGCAAAGCCTGATAAACATTTGATGTGAGGGACACTCCACATATTATGCTTTTTCCTTCTTGGAGAAGGATTCCAATTATGAATAAGGCCCACGAGAAGCCTCAGTGGTCTGCATAGATTGCTCCGTTGCACCAACACAAATTCCCCACTAAAACTGATAGTTTATACAGGTGAATATTCAGTATAAGCCCATAGTACTACCTATGCAAGTGAGAAGCCAGAATTGGGGTCTATAAAAAAAAAAAAACCCCAAACGATCCCATTTTAAAGCATCGCCTACTTACTTTCCTGTTCTACGCTCCTCAAATTTTAATCTCTTGACAAGTATTGTATCAGTCTTACCTTTGGATCTCCTAGTCGTTCAAGGTACTTCGCAAATGACCCTTCCACGTACTTTCAAGAAAACGAATATAAGAACTTAGTCAGCTGGAAAGCAAAGTTAAACCTGAACACTGCATCATACCTTACTAGCTGTTGAATGGGAGCTGGCAGGGCAGGGGGCTGGGGGCATGGACACCAAGTTTGGGACTAGTCTGCCAATTCCTCTCATTTTTGGGTTCTGAAGGGCTGTGGTCTAAGTAGGGGTATGACTTCATGCCTTAGAGCACGGGAACGATTTGGGGTACCAATGTGGAAATACCAAGAGATCCTAAAAAAATTAAGAGCATGAAACTGAGTGACTCATCTCCCTCCTAGATTACATTAGGCACTTAACTGTGATTACCGGGGGAAAAAAAAACCAAAACACACACACAAAAAAGACAAACCAAAAAACACCAAAAAACATCCCACCACCACACAAAACCATGCTGCACACGCACCTGCACAAACTGCCACACACAAAACCAACGAACCAAAATGACTTTACCCAACGATTAAACACAATCTGGAGTTTTCCACCATCTTTTGATGTTCATTTCTTACTCCAAAATCCTACATATTTCCTACCTACTAAATTCTGCAGTGGTTGCTCCACAGAGAATATACAACACAAGTAACTGTCACCCTACTTGTTACTTGGGTATTAGTAACTCACTTGATTTCAGGAACTCCAGAAATATAAAGTCAAATAAAGCTTATGTGATTGCAACTCAAATAAGGTAAGCAAGCAATCACGCTGCCATTTCTCTTCTCTTATATGTATCAAGCCTGGCAAAGCATGACATGTTTTCATTGCATGTGCTTATGTGGGTATGTTTATGACTAAACCACTCGCCCCCTCCCACATTACTTCCTAAGTGCATGTGCAAATCTGCCTAACACACACATTACTTACAGATTCAAACTTATGCTGGTGTTGCCTCATAAACAAGACACAGGCTTTCCTAACTTCCATGTGATGAATTTGTGATGAAAACAGCTAAAAAAAAAAAAGTTATGAAAAAACAAAGGAGAAAATTGCACAGTTCAATTTATGCTTCACATTATGCTTATTTTACTCATAGTTTATAAAGACTAACACCACCACAAACACTTCACAAAGCAGGGAGAGGAGACATTGGGGAGGGCCACAGACTCTCGGGAGGAAGCTGAGGAAAGCCCAAGTGACCCAGCGGGCTGATTGCTCCCGTCCCCACACACATCCCCGCGCCAGACACCTCACTTTGAGCACCCAGGAGGGGTCTTCAGGTGCAGTCTCCCATAGTTTATAAAGACTAACACCACCACAAACACTTCACAAAGCAGGGAGAGGAGACATTGGGGAGGGCCACAGACTCTCGGGAGGAAGCTGAGGAAAGCCCAAGTGACCCAGCGGGCTGATTGCTCCCGTCCCCACACACATCCCCGCGCCAGACACCTCACTTTGAGCACCCAGGAGGGGTCTTCAGGTGCAGTCTCCCCTCCCCACCGTGCCAGCCCCAGCGAGGGCCTGAGGCACCCGGGCTGCCCCCCGAAACCGTTACCGATGCTGCCCACCTGCTCCGAGACGGCTCGGAAGAGGCAGGAGGCGTCCTTGGCCGTCATCTTGCGGTACAG